AAAAAAAAAAAAAAAAAAAACACACCCAAACCAACTCTGGTCATGTCAAGTTGACTGAACTTCCAGAAGCCTTTTTGAGATGATTCAGTTAAGAGTTGGCAGTGATTGCAGCCTAAAGTTAACCCCAGTAAAATGAATGTCAAGGAACATCCAGAACAAATGGAACAATAAATTAAAATAATGTTGTGACCATTGGGACTAATTAGTGTGGGAACAGGAAGATATTCCAGGTGTTAAGGCTGTGCTATTATAAAGCTTCCAAAATATTATATAGTCAAGCTTGGCTAGCCTTAGTAATAGTGATGTCACTAAAGGCTTAAATAGTAGGGCTGTGTGAAGCTTCAGTCGCTGATTCAATTCAATGGAGACCAGAAGTGGACCAAAAGTACTTCTGGCCCACTTGTAGGTCTGCTGCCAGGCACCTGGAGGGGCCCTCCCCATGCTCCTGTGGGACACTCCATCCACCCCACCATTCGCAAGCTGCACCTGGTACCTCGAGGTATGTAGAAAAAACAGCCAAAAAACAACTCCAGCCCCCCAACATTTAAAGCTGTGTCTGTGCCTGAATTGCCGATTCTCTGAATCAGCATCAAATCTTCATATTTGGATTCAGCTGAATTGAATTGGGACAGTGATGCGAATCAATGAATTGATCACTGTCCCCAATTCAGGCCCAATCCAAATGGACTACAGCCCATTTTGCACACCCCTATTAAGTAGATTAAGCAAGTAAAAAAAAAATAAATCACCCTTCGCTGTTTGAATCATCTTCATGGATTTGAAGGAGAGACCGGCATGGATTTCTAAAGGAAGACCAAGCCTTCAGATTTGGAACATCACAACCCAGGAAGCTCGCCCAGTACGACCAACTGAGGGGAATGCCTCCTGAGTACCAGCTCCAAACAGACTGATGTGGTAAGGAGCCATGTTAACACACTCAGTTTTTGATAACTGCCTGTTTATATTCTGGCAATCCCAGTAAAGTTGACTACTTGTATACTGGCAACCCCAGTTGTTTAGTTGCTTTGTGTTTAATGGATAATTTTGTAGTCAGTGAAGCTTCTAACTAATTATCAAACAAGTGTTGGTAGTTAAACACATAGTTCTCCTTGCCCACAAAAAAGTAGAGCTCAAATTTAAGCCCAACACCCTGCTCCCCCCAGTCTTGCCAGTACCCTTTTGCTCCTGACCTGCAGCCCCCTGCTCCCCCAACACTGGGATGGGGCTGCCACCTCGCACCAGTTCAAAGCACCATCTGGTGGACAAAGGGGTGAGCTACAAAAAAAGCTGCAGCGTCATCTGGTGGACAAAGAAGCTTGTCTTTGAGTGCTTTTGTGTTTGCACGCAATGAATCCATAGATACGGCGATGTAATCAGTGGTGACACAAACTAAACTATGTCCCAGGAGTTTTACTTTAATGCTCTGAAAAGACTTAAAAAGCAGCAGGAAATCCTGTTCGTGCAAACAGAAACAGTTGCAGCATCTTAAAGGGCAAATCTTGTGGCGTGTACATGCAGTCCAAGAAGCTAGCTCAGAGTGGTATCTGGCTTGTTCTACTGCTAAATGAAATCAGACAAAGAAGCTACGTTGCTGTGTGACCTTATCACCAGAGCAATCGATACTTTCAAATACCTTTTGTCAATATGTCACACAAAGAAACATCAAAAGCAGTCAGAGTTTACTGACACTCACATCCTGAAAGAGGGAAATGGGGTATAATATAAGCTTTGCAAACCTTCAGGGCTGAGGCACTAGAGTGCTGCTGCAACTTCTTTTAGGAAAGACTTCCCATGAGCAAATGAAACCTTGATGTCAAGAAGGAAGAAAGAAAGAATCATTTCCAGGATCCCTTTTGCAGAATGGAGGACCCATGGATTTTGTCTGAAATCCAGGCCTCAAGGTGCTTGCTGCTGTATGTGCAGAGACATATGCACAGATGTGTGCGTGTGCATGCACACGCACACACGAACAGTTTCTATACCTAAAAGCTTATAATTTAAATGAACATTACAAACAAAATACAATATCCCCATTTCACATGTAGAAGAATTGAGGCACAGAATGACTTAATTAAAAAGACACACCAAGAATCGGTAAGAGCCAGAAATAGTTCCCAGATTTTCATCTTTTTCCCCAATGACCCTTTTAATAAGAAGTTTAGCACCTATTCCTCCACTGTAACTTTCTAGTTAAATAGTATCTCAGTAAAAGCACCCCTTGTTCAGTTCCAACATGGTTTATGATCATACGGAATACACATCAACTCCTAACCTCTTCATGCTCCAGTAGCTTGAAAGAGACAAGAGGAAAACCCCCTTGCAACAGAATTATACTACTGTGACTTTTGTACCATTTGTTATCTGTGAATAGCAGAATACTTTGCACCCATGATGCCCTCTATCTTTACAAGTGACAAGAAATGTTAGATGCCCAGCTAGAAGTTCCTCAAAGGACTCCAATTTTCACAAAGTGCTGATCCCTTGGGGGGTGGAAATCAGGCTGTCAGAGGTTGGATGGCCAAAAATCTGTGCATCAAACACCAGTAGTCATGATTTTAAAAGCGTAGGCTTCCTAATATCCCTCTGAAATAGAAACATTTTACAGATGACTTGCACAAGGGCACAGGAGACATCAGTGGTAGGGACTGCAAGAGTATCCAGGCATGCTAATGCCTAGCCTGAGCAGAAAGCAGGAGTTCTACCCCCTGGGCCCAGACCATTCTACCTTCTCCTTCCACTATAATTGTTACACTTTACCTCTAGCTTCCAGTGAGCAATGTAATACAGTGCTATTAGGAACAGGGAAAGAGCAAAGATGACAGGGAGAATAGGGCTTGCACCAGAACAAAGCCGACCAGACATAGATGGCATAGAATAATGCATGGGGAAAAGCTAGCTAAGTTTGGCTTGAGAATATTTCTTGGTAGACTTAATAGTGATTCATCAAGAACAGGTATGTATGAGGTGCAAAGTTAACCCACATCATTAGCTTGGTATATATTGTAGCGCACACACTTGGTAATTATATGGTGCCTATAACTGGAGAGATCAGGACAAGCAGACAGCTTTTTAGGGGTCAACAAGCACCCTGCTTCCACATTTATTTGGGGACATTCTGCACCTAATCTTAAAACATTTGGAATTTCTCACAGTCCCTGCAAGAGTTAAGAATCAAAGGACAGAGCCACAGAAGAGATGTGGCATTAACTGCTCATCACACCCAGCACCCAGGTGCCGGTAAATAAATCATAAATGATTCATCCAATAGGGCAAGGAGGCAAAGGTTGAGCAGCAGCAGTTGGGAATTAGTGCCAGCCATGCAATGTTCTTCACCACCATTCGGAGCAGTAAATGGATGACAACGTACTGCTGACTCCAAGGGAGGAGAGAGGCAGGAGTGCCCTACCCACAGCCAGGGTTTCCTTTTGCTTTCTGCTGTCTGCGCCATGGCTGTTTCTCTTCAGCTCTCTGCCTACATACTCTTTCTGGTGCTACCCCTAGTACAGAGCCAAGGTAAGTCAATGCCTTTGGAGTCCGGATGGATGAAAGCAAAAATCTCCATGGCTGCCTACCTACCTCAGGATGTCAAATGCCTTCTTCCAAGGCATCAGCCATAGCTGGAGACTAGCTGCTGGAGTGAATGCACCTTAGATCTGATCCAGTTTGGTAGTTCCCGTGTCTGACGGAAATATCGTGCCTTTTTTTCAGCATGCTCTGTAAATAATACCAAGCCAGTGGTACATGAAAATAACTCTGCTGGCTTAGTGGTGACCAACATTACAAAGGCTGCTGGTATCACAGTAACAATCAGTCCTACGGTGGATGGAAATTGCTTCTCCATTCGTGACACAGAACTGATTCTAAGCTGTTCTTTGGACTATGAGGTAAGTTATTACATGAAAAAAATGCAAGTATCAGCTAATTTAACATTGCAAGACTTTCTATAGTATACTTTTTACCGTGACAATCCAATGGCTCTGTCAGTCGTAGCAAGTGAAGCTTTTTAAAATGGCGCCCACCTTTTCAGTTTCCCTGAGCTTTAATAGCCTAAGCAGGGAACCTGCGTATACAAATATGGCCCAACTACTATGTTGTTAGAAATCCACTCCAGGAAGGACATAAGGCATGTTGTTTAAATGGAGCAGGATATGGGGTCTTAAGTGGAGATCAGCCGAGTTCCGAACGCACACAGCTGGTCCGTGTGCGTTTGTCAAATAAAGCTAGCATGTAAAAAAAAAAAAAAAATCCTGTTCCCTTCCATGGCCTTTCCATTTTGAAATGGTTAACAAGATAGAACATTTACATTTCCCAGCTAATTAATTTACCATCCATCCACTGGGATCATGCCAAGCTCTCCTCCTCAGGAGTCAAGGGTCAGTTTTCTACCCAGCTATAGCTTCCCTGTCCTGTACAAGCTTTACCTTGCTCCCAGAAACAGCTTTTACAACATAACCACGTTTTCCAAGATGTAAAATTAAACTCTGTGGCATGTTTCACAATAATAAA